AGCAGAAATGACACAGCCAGCAGAAAGACAAACCAGTAAGGCGACTGTGTTGAGTATAGAAAAGTCATTCCGTGAACAATCGCTGGGGGTACAGAGAAGTCAATTAGTTCACATGCAATTGACATTACCCTACCAACAATAGGCAGAACAAGCAAGTAACCAAGGTTTCCCATGGATGGAATGGGAAACAGCCAGGTCAACAAATTAAACACATAAGATAAGGGTAGCCACATGGCCAGCTCTCATCCTCCTAGCCTGTGTTTACAAAAGTCCAAGCTGAATAAGGCCCAGTTCCAGGAGAGTCAGGAGGTCCTTCCCCAACCAGGAAGCTCTGTGAAGTGCATCCACTTCACAGACAGAAACTCCTCACTCCTCCCTTCCTGCCAGTGGTCCCAGCTTTTATCCCCAAGCAGACACCTGACCTTTGTCAACTCAATGCGAGACCCCTGGGGCTCATTTCCCTTCTGGCTCTCCCTGCAGGGCCGGCCGCACCCTGGGGGGAAGCTATAAGGCAAACTCACCTCCTCTTTATGAAGGGCTGTGGGAATCACCCATATGTCAACCTAAATATGGGGCTTAGGGTTCAAACCCCAGCATTTCACATATCCATGGGTGGCCTTAAAGAGTCTGCATCCAACATCTTTTGCTAGGTTGTGCTTGAGGCCAAGACTGGGGGACTTGAGAGAGCACTTACTTCAAATGCAATTTAATTGTTCTTCAGGAGCCCTGAATTAGTTTAAGCACTGTGCTGTCATTAAGATGCAGAACCATCTTGGGATTTGGTGCCTTCCTTGGGCTGTTAGATCACTTCTAGCACGAAGGAATACCAGTTCAAACTCCCCTGGTTCTTGAATAGGGGAGGAGTGTGGCCTGTGGAAAATACAGAGGTTGGACATCTCTCCTTTAGTGCTGTTCAGTACTAGTTTAGCGGCAAAAATTGGAATATATTATCCCAAGAGCATTTGCTTTCTTAAAAATCCATTCAAATGCATAAAAAAAGGTGAGAATTTAACAATAGAAGCATCAACTAAAAACTTGGAATACTAAAAGTCAAGTATAATTTTTTCCATTGCATTGGCTTTGTTGCCTTTTGGGATATGCTGTAATATACACTTAGTTTTAGTAGGTCGTCTCACCAATTGAACATTCTGCTGTTATGAAGAGATCTGTTTTCTTAATAGATTTGGAGTTTTCCACATAAAATATTTTTAAAATCATAGCTGTAGGCATTTCAGATTTGTTTTCACAGTAATCCACAAAATACCGAAGTTCATAAAAATGATCTGTGTCTAAAATGTAAATTGTAGAATAGACAAACTAAACATTAAACTTTTTATGAAAAAATACTTTTGGTTTTTTTAAATGCATGGAAACAAGCCATCAGTATTGCATTTTCAATGGGATAGATTTAATAGGTCTTTTCCATCTTGAACTTCCTTAAGCTAATATAAAAATAAAAGTGAAATTTGGAGGTATTCATGTTGATGACCTTGTCCTGACTTCTAAAAGAGAGGCGTTTCTTTAAAAATATAGTTTACAAGAGCAACCTTTTTTTTTTTTCTAACAGAAGAAACTATTCAGAAAGCTTTACGTTCAGTAAAATGGCATTAAAAGAAAAAATGTTGTAAATGTGGGCAAAAACTTACTGGTGCATATGTAGTCACTTGAGTAGAGGACAAAATGCTCATAATCAGAGGTATGAAGTTCAAAAGGAACTTCACTGTGTTACTGCATACACGTGTTGATAATGTTCCATTTGTTTTGGTAAGTGGTGGTTTGTCTAAAGCTTCTGTTGGTCCTAGTTTTGCTAGTGTGCTTTTATATCTTAAGTTTTGTAAAGTATAGCAGTATAATTTGATAGCCTTGACATGCAGACTCTCTGTGGGATGTTAAGTGCTTGGCTTGAAAGAAGCTCAATGAGAATAAAGCTGTTGTTCTTGCCTTTAATTTCTCAGTAAAAAAAAAAGTAGAAACCCTTGAAAAGGAGTATGTGTGAAGTGAAGGGTCCTGTATGTAAACTGAAAAATGATGGGGAAGGGGAAATAAAATAACATAGAAATGGGAGAAATGTGCTTTTATATCTTCAGCAGATTCACAAAAATAGCTTTAAATCTTGAT